ACCAAGGCTGTGCCAGGCTGAAGCCAGGAGGCAGAAACTCTATCCTTGTCTCTCACATGAATGGCAGGAACCTAGGTACTTGTGCCATTATTTGCTACTAACCCAGGCACATTTGCAGGAAGCTGATGGGAAGTGGAGCAGCCAGAACTCAGCACAAACTCTGATACAGTAGACCAGCATTGCTAGCGATGGCTTAACCCATTGTGCTACATTGCTGGCCCCCAGAGGAAGCAAATTTTGGTATCATGTTCTAAGTTCAAGTTCCAAGTATTCATTTACCAGTGTTGAAAAGCTATTAATTTTTTCATAACAATTAATATAAATTTATAAATTTGGCAACTATTTTGGCTTATCTGAATCAAGGTATTCTCATCTATAAAGTGAGGATAATACTCTTTCTTACAGGGTTTCCTTTTTTTTGTATCATTACCCATAGTTTATTATTTAAAAAAAACTGTAAATTTCAAGGATCTAATTAACTTGCATATCATCCCACCAGTAATAAATGGCAATAATGAGCATAGAGTGGAGAAGAGGTTACATGGAGCTATAATTTAAACCATCAGGTAGTGACTATGCTGTACAGTGAATTAACAGATAGAAAAATATGTTAGTCTATATAGTACTCATAAACTAACCAGTGTTTCATTGATAAAAATCACAGGATTTCTATAAGAAATTAAAACCCTGTGTGGTATAACACTTCCTAAAAGCTTGGCAGAAGTCAAATTGTTCTCACGACAGCATTTTGACAGCATTTCTGTTGATACACGTCAACAAGTTGCAAGAGGCCATGGCATGCACAAGTGTGGGTCACTGTACCGGTGTTTGAATTGCCAGCTGTTAGCTTCTAGTTGGCTATGTATACCTGGGTGAGTGACATAACCTCTGTGAACCTCATTTCTCTCAAAGTGGAAGTGACAATAACGCTCCTGGATTTCTAGAGTTGTGAAAATTCAGTAAAGTTAGCTTGGGGGTAAGTGCTCACTTGGAGCTGTATGGAATTAACACTGGTTTGCCTCCAATAGCAGATGATCCTCAGATGTTAATTTTGCATGGTCCCATTCCACCAATCAAATCTTAAGCAGTTGTTGCTATGAACAGTCTTGTGTTTTCAGTAATTTGGCAGAGATTTTTGTAAATGTATTTATTGTGTGTGTGTGTGTGTGTGTGTGTGTGTGTGTATGCCTTTATTGCCTGACACTTTGGACATTGGCAGTGGTCATCAGCAGGCATTTTTCCCTGTACTACTTCCTTTTTTTTTTAAGCATCCCTCATTGCTTCACCCTCAGCTATGGGAGAGTTCAGCAATTCCCTGCTCGCCTGAGTGCCTGGCAGATGGTAAAATGCCGTGGGAACTGAAGCTGAGATACACCTTCCCTGTGATGAGTGTCTCTGTCCATTTAAGGTCCACTTATCATCTCGACTCCTCAGCTTAGCAAGCGAGAGTTGTCACACTTGGAGGGAAGTTCCCCATGTCATCAGCGGAGGTAGAGGAGCATGTTGTGAAACCAGCTGCCATGAAATTGAATTACAGGTGTCTTATTCTCCCAGCTTTAAATTGCTCCATTATCGCATGGGCCTTTCTGTTTGTTTGGAACAAATAACTGCAATTTACTAGGATGCTAAGAGATGAGGGTATAAGCAGTCAGGGGTTGTTTAAGGTTTCCATAATGATGGAAAATTACTCCTATCCATTTCAAGTATGGTTTCTCTCCCAAGCCAGCACGCTGAAATGTGAACGGAGGAAATGCCTCACTTCTTAATACACTTCTTGCAGCACAATGCTCTTTTTAGAGGTGTCCCAGGTTTCTTTAATGCTCTGAACCGCACACCCAATCAGTTTTATTTATTATCCCATGGAATATGTTCAGTAATGACTTCTGAGGCAGCCAGGAGAGAATGGACAATTTCCTTTCACTGCCTTGATCTCCTCAACCCATTTCCTCTTAATTTGGTGGAGATAATGTGGAGCCACTGGAACTGGCAGCCACAGAGACACTTTCAGGAGGAAGCACGGAGGCACCCCATTTCTGGCTCATAATGGAGCCTGATTGGAAATGATTTCCATGTGCTGCTTTGTTCAGTGGATATATTTTAGTTTGCCAAAGAGTGCTATTGGTTTCCTTTCAAGATACAGTGTGTGTAATCATATGGTTTGGGATTCCCTCCCACCCACAGGACTCTTCACAAATTGATAAATTGCCTTAGCTCTACAAGGTGGTTGGGATGGGGTGATGGTCAGTCTTATACAAAATAGGCTTTACAGTGCTTGTGCCTTTCTGAAAGTCATGCAAAGGTGTTGCAGGAAATGATCAATGTGCATTTTGTGTGGCTGTTCTCATTTTAAAAATGATTTGTAGAATCTTCCAAATGACAACTGCCTATCAGTAGTAATTGAGACGTTACTCATGAAATAATATTTGGCATTAGCTGGGAGATTTGCTTAAGTTGCATATGGCATATGGGTGTTTTTGGATTTTGTTCTTGAGGTACTTATGGTTTTAGTCAATTTTTTTAATAAATGTGTATAAATACATTCTTTGTGTAGAACTCCCATAACGAAGAACACAAGAATTTATACTTGCATCCCCACCCTCCAACTTATTCCCTGCCTCACTCATCCAAATCAAGTCTGTCTTGTAGATGTTTTTACTTGAATGGCCATGCATTAAATATTCCACAGAGCAATATATAGTTTCATTTTTTGGTTATTTTAAAGTAAATGTTGAAATCTTTACTTAGTATAGAGTTGGTCTTCTGTGTATACAGTTAATTGAAAATGAATCTTAATGGAGAATGGGACTGGGAAAGGGAGTGGGAGGAGGAAGTGAGGTAAAGTGGGGGTGGGAGGGTAGTATAGAGGGAGAATCACTATATTCCTAAAGTTGTACTTAAGAAATTTGTATTCATTAAATAAACAGTTTCATTGGGAAAAAATATTGCTTAGGATGCATCTCATGCTTTATGTTTAATAATTTCAGTATTAGTCATTTCAAAACACATTGTTATTTACACTCAAAAATAAATAGGAATGTTATTTTTCTTGTATCTTGTGCTTTTTGCTTAGCACTATTTTTAGAGATGTCTACATTAATCCATCCATCTGTATTGTTGATCAAGCTATATCTAGAAAGATTTTTTGAAGAGCTGATTATTCTAGATGTGGATGAACCACAACTTCTCATGTTGGTTGACATTTCAGTTTCACTGATTTGCTTTTACAAAAACAGATGTTGCTATGAAGAAACGTGTACATCTCTTTATACATGGGTATGCTGTATCTCTAGGTTACATACGTAGTTTTTGCTGCAACACTGCATTATTGAAATCTGTTAACTGATTATCCTAATGATGGACTAAAAATGACATGTAGACAATGCTAACTAATACAAATTTTAAGATTGTGAGCATTCTGGCCCATGGGGTTACACTGGACAAAGGTGTTCAATTAGAATTTAAACATAATGATGATTTATTAGTATTTATTTGCCTGTAAGCTATGCTGCAGAGCTCAATACACACACACATCAAGATGTAAGAGAACTGTGAAAATTAAAACCAAATAAAAGAACCCATGATAATCAACCTTTGGATCATTTCCCATAAAAGTAAAAATGAATGTGTGCTCCAGAAAGGCTGAGAAAAAATGAGTTTGAGCTATTTCAATGTGTTCTGCAAAGGGCATGTGGTGTGAGGGTAACAAGCAGCTTCTGTAAGACAGAGTTAACCATAACCAGTGTCCTGGTGGTGTCATAAAGATGAAATGAGCCACTGGGTGGCAAATGCCACGCCTGGGACTGGCCACCCTGTGGGTCATCAGTATAATGTTTAGAAACTATCATCACTGTAAACCCCATCACTCATTATCTTTCTGGCATGGGTCAAGTTAACTTAATCTGACGAGGCCTGCTATCCACTCCACAAAAGAGGAAGTCTTGTTGGATACTAAGATTCTTTGCAGATTTTCCATTTGGGCTATTTTTTTATTTTGAAAATGGAAGATCCCCTCATTGTCTCTGCTCTTCTTTGTGATGACCTGACACACACACATACACACACACACACACAATACAATTTAGGTTGGTGATACTATAGAATTTAGAGCTTTTGTAGGCAGAGCCTCAATATAGTCAAGGGGTAGGATCCCACTGTAGTATGAGGGATCCTCTGTATTTAGGACAATTGTAATCTACAGAAAGAACCGTCTCATTCTCGCCCAGCCCACAACCCCTTCCCACAGATCTGCTCGCTCAGTCTCCCTCAATGTGGCCTCATTCCTCCTCTTGCTCTCAAGTTCTGCCTCGCCCAGAGATTGTCACTTAAGCAGGGAAAATCACTAAGACAACTTCAATCCCTCTTAATTTAGGTCCTTTATATGAGAAATATTTACATACAATAATTAATTTGTTCGTTCAGTGCTTTATAAATATCAAATGTGAGTATGTACTGGACTGACGGGGTTAAACACAGTAAAACTCCTTGCTTCATGAAGGATTCATTTTAGCATTGAGTACTGGACAATAAATAGCTAAGCAGATAGTAGATATTGTATTTTATTCTTAATATACATCATTGTGAAGGAAAAAAACAAATACAGTATAGGTTTTCAGGTATAGCCCCTCGGAGTACTATCCTTTCATTAGCAATTTGAGTGACTGTATCATAAAGTTTATATCTGTGTGTATATATATATATATGTGTGTGTGTGTATACATACATGTACTTGTATGTTCATTGCATATATTTGCATATATACATATAAGTGTGTATGTAGATATGTTACATACCTGTGTGTTCCTGACTGCAAGTTAGGTATTATTATCCCCATTAGCAAGTGATAGAGTATCCATCTGATAGTTACCTCAAGCAATGGGAGTTTGTATTTCTAGCTGACAGGAACTCCAGAAAGAGGAAGTTGCAGTTTCTGGTTAGGTAGCTCAGTTTTTTACAGGTTGGTATCTGTAGTTTTCTTAGACTTTTCCTCATGGCTTCCACAGATCCAGGCAGCATCCCTGAATTCCAAGCCAGACCAAGGAAGGAGATACACCTATTCCATCTGACTCTCTTGTTGGAAAGATGGTGGACTCTACGGTTTCCCTCTGAAGTTGTGTTGGGAAGATCAATGTCTCCTGGCTGTCCCTTGCTGCAAAGAAGGCTGAGGAAGTGAGTGAGTAGTTACTATTTCCAAAGTAAAACAAAAAAGGGAAAAGACTTGCACATAAGTGTCGGATTGCTGTTTGCCTTGCCATGAAATGTGTGCTCAGAATCACGTCTAGTAAGCTGGGTCTGTCTAGAAGCAGAGTCCAGCTCCTCTAATCTTTGGTAACCTGATTGATTAATTTGTGATGCGGTTTGTCTCTTACAGGATGGGGAGGAGGTGACTAATGGTCAGACTAATGTCAGCAGTACCATGGAGGGGGCTGAAACAGTTTTAGTTGCTGTGTGGCTAATATTGGTATTGTCAACACTGTATGTTATTTTAAGTAGAATTTCCAAGCACTAAAATTTGGTCCAACTTTTCGTCTAATTACCCTACTGTTTCCTAAGATTGGCCAGCGATTGATGCATGATGTGTAGCAAATCCAAAGACTACTAAACTGATTGCAGATTCAATTTAGATACAGGATCAGCGGGAAAATTCTGAGGCAAATAGTTTTCTTTGGAAGAAATACTGACAGAATATTACTTGGGAGTAGTCCAAAGTCTCAGAATCCTTCATAGCTATCGAATATCTTTCAGTTTGCACTTGTTTGTATCTGTATTGACTTACTTGCTTTGCAAAGCTACTCTGGAAAATAAGTCAGAAATCGTTACTGACATTACTTTTGGTAAACTGATGCCAAGGCGAAACTCAATGATTTAAAATGCTAAAACATTTTTTCTTAATCATGGGTTCCTTAGTCTGAACAAAGGCAACACCAACATCACACTCATAGAGTGGATTTAATTTCTCTCTTTCATACACACAGGTAACTGCCTCATAGAATTTCCTCCTATGTGGAAATTCTAATAGCAGTTGCTTATACACAGCATAGATATTCCTCCACACATATCTTTTCAATTACCCAAGCATGTGCTAAAAATCTCTCAAAGTTTAGAGCATCAAGTCTTTTAAAAAGACTTTGTGGCCATTTCTGATTGAAGGGAGGCTAACTTTTCCAAGACGAAGACAATACAGAAATGTTTGCAATACATAGTGAAAGCTTTCTCTGGTTACATCCCACAAGGATAAGCAGTGTGAGCAGATTAGTTTATAGCCTTTCAGGAACTTTCCAATACATTTGCAATCATTATTAATTATTATTAATTATTTTGTCCTCATTAATGGATATGATAGTGTTTGCAAATTTTGTTGCCTAGTAATATATTGTGAACATTTTCCATACCAGTATATTTGTATCTACATGATTATTTTAGTGTATGTATGGTATTTTTTAAAGAATGAATTATAAATCTTGTAGCCCATCCCCTAATAATGGCCATATAATTTTCCCCAAATGTTTAATGTTGTAGTGGTTAACATATATATGTGTGTCATTAAACAGATGTTTAGTATTTCCATATGAAAACACCCAGAAAAAATACAGACTACTTAGAAAGTAGACACATTTAAAATTTGTAAACATTACAGAATTCTCCCCTATCAGCAGTTTAGGAATGTCTGTTTTCCTATACTCTCACCAGCACTGGTTATTATGTATCTTTGGTCCTTGCTAATATGAAAGGCAAAATGGTTATATATATCTTCTAATTTGCAATTATTGGATTAACACTGATTTCAAGCATTGTTACACATGACTATTGGTCACTGTTTTGTCAGTCACATCCTCATGCCCTTTTGCTTGTATTTATTCAGGTTTTCTTGTGATGAAACTTTAGATGTTACGGGCTTTAACCCACATGCCATGCATGTTGTTGATCTTTTTCCCGATTACATTGTCCTTCATCTTTTAACTGTGTTTATGGTGCTTTGGCTATATGAACTTTAATTTTTATGGTGAAATATGCTGATACTTTTTCTTTCTTAGTTCCTGGTCTTACTGCAATGCAAAGAAAAGTCAGATACATGCTGATTGTCCACTATTTCAAGTTGTATATCCATGCTGAGTGGAGCTTTGGCAACATGGGAGCTCATCGGACTTGAATAATTACGTCTCTGTAGCTGGTATTTACCTACACCCTTTTTCAACGTAGTCCAACCAGGATTTAATAACCCATAGCATATTTGCACAAACTTTCTAATTTTCTAACCATTTGAAATTGGTCCTGGAAGATGAATGACTTACTTTTTTTAAAGTGGTTCCTTTAAATTCAGTTCTTCCAGAGTGGACAGTGAGAGAGAAACGGAGAGAAAGGTCTTCCTTTTTCCGTTGGCTCATCCCCCAAGTGGCCACTGTGGCCTGTGCACTGCACTGATCCGAAGGCAGGAGCCAGGTGCTTCTCCTGGTCTCCCATGGGGTGCAGGGCCCAAGCACTTGGGCCATCCTCCACTGCAGAGCTGGCCTGGAAGAGGGGCAACCAGGACAGAATCCGGCGCCCCGACCGGGACTAGAACCCTGTGTGCCAGCGCCGCAGGTGGAGGATTAGCCTAGTGAGCCACAGCGCCGGCCCTGGTGAGAAAGTTTTTAAAGAGTGCTTTGGCTCTTTGCTAACTTAACCAGCAGTAAGTTAACTTTTTAGACAGTGTCATTTTGTTTTGCCCAGGTATTCTCTTGAATGATATTTTACATTTAACCCAAACTTTTCAATGGTGATGTGTTTGCTAAATGAATGGGTTCAAAATAAACATGGTCAGGTGAGTGGGGGAATGATTGGCATTTGGCTACTCAACTATGTCTTCAAGTGAGTGTGACCATATGAACAAAAATGACACACAGAATGAAATCTGTGGAATCCTTACCCATGTGGTGATTATGAGGAATATGATAGCCCTGGGCTTGCATTCTGACTTCTCCCCTTAATAATTACTTGGGGAACCTTGCTTAACTTTTGAAGAGCTCAGTTTCTTTGACTCTGAAATGGGAGTAAGGCTTGCAGTGGCAGCTCCCAAAGAATCACTCATTTTGTCATTTCAGACATTCATCTCCCTGCTGAGCTGAGTATGAATATATGAGTGATCTGGACTCAGGTGCAGGCAGTATTTAAAAATCATAGCAGATGAAAGTAAGGGATTGAATGAAGCTGAGTAGAACTGCCATTAATTTGGCATTTTATAAGCAAGTTCTCTCTGGCAGTCAATCCATGCTGTCTGTGAAAGTAGCCCAACTTTTCATTTTTATTTTATTTTTTACATCTCAATCTTTTGTGACTTAAAACTGATGACATCTGAATATTTCTCAAGCAGTTACTGCATATTTATGAAGACCAGTTAATCTATGGAAAAGGAGAGAGAGAGAGAGAAATCATTAAATTTTAGAGCTGAGTGACTTTAAGGTGTATGACAGTAGAGGAAATTGAGATCCAGACAAGTTATGTTATTTTTCCAGCATCAAATATTAGTAACAATGATAAACAGTGACCTCTACAGAGTTGTAAAAAGATGAGACCTTGGGATGATTCCGTTACATCTTATATAGGGGTGATGTACACGGCGAGGTGGATTTCCCCTCACACCCTCTATATCCCTGCGTGTCATAGGCCGTCTAGAGACCAGGAAGTATATTCCCCCCGGGGATCTCACTCACGGGCTTTGCAGCAATGTCCAGAGCACAGATAGATGCAGCTTCTATGAGATGAGCAGTGGCGGCGTGCTGCCTGTGTGTAGTGAGTTCCCTGCTGTGCAGGCTGGAAGGTCAGCTGTTGGCTGCATCAGTACTGTTTCCTTAGAGATAGCCTGGTTCACAAGGATGTGGGAGGAATAGTGGCTCCATGGTGGGATGCCCCACTGGAGGACGGGAGGTCTCTGGAGGTGAACTTCCTTCTCTGATCATGGCCGCTCTGTGGCTGGTCTGCCTGTCTTGTACCTCTCTGACATTTCATCGTCCTAGCGATACCTCTGTCTCTCTTATTTCTCTCATGCTAGGACATCCGTTCTAACAAACATTGGAAATTTGTTTCGCTGTCCTGGCCATCTTTTCCTAGATCTATTTTCTGTGCCCAAAAGACCACCCATTCCCTGGGAGTGGAAATTGACTCTTGCTCATCTTCTCTGTAGTTTCTGCTGTGTCACCCCTCCTGGAAGAAATGACTATGGAACTAAAATACCTTGGAGATGAATGAAGAAGAGTTGAGACAGAAAGAAATCTTTACAGTAAAAACATTTTGTGGGGACTTCTGCCATATTATCCTGCCCCCCTGAATGTCAGTGTCACGATCATCATCACCATCATCATCATCATCAGTACTGTCTGCGCCCTCACCACTGTCACTGTCAGGCAAATGCATTTACTGAGGACTGGTTGGAAGAGTGCCAGCAAATATCTTTAGCACATGATGTAATTTTATTTCACAGATTCCCCTTAGCTCTGGTCCTGTTATTTTCTCCATTATATAAATGAGAAAACTGACACTTGTAGGGATCAAATAACTTGCCTAACCCAGTGATCTGAATTGGGCTATGTTGTCCTCAGGGGACACTCGGCGTTGTCTGGAAACATTTTGATTGTCGTGAACAGGAAGGTAGTACTTGCTAAAGATCCAACAGTGCACAAGACAGGTCCCCATTGCAAGGAATTATCCTGCCCAAAATGTCAGTAGTGCTGAGTCTGAGAAACTGTGGTCTCACATGGTATATTAAGAAGGTGAAAAGTGTTCTTATCATGAATAGGCATTGTTGAATTTTTCTTTAATGCATTTCCTATATCCAGATAATCATGTATTATTTTTTCATGAATCTGTCTAATGGATTCTAACAATAGATTTTCAAATGTTAAAACTATTCTTTCATTATGAGGATAAAATCTACTTAGTCACAGTATGATATTGTTTATGTGAAAATTTAAAACATACAGAGTGATACTGTATATTATTATGGATATTTATATGCTTTGTTAAAAGCATTACAAAACCAAGCTGTAGGGGAACATGCACACAAATTTTAGAATAATGGTTACCTCTGAGAATGAAAGGCTTGGAAATCAATGGGGAGGGTTCTTTAACAGAGTTTTATGTTATTTTATTTCTTTAAATATAGGACTGAACTACAATGTAAACACTTGTTAAATCTAT